GAAATATGTTTGAATACAGAGAAAAGAAGAATTTAGCACTCTATACAGCAGGGGAAAAAAAAAATCAGTACATTTTGCCTCCAAGTTAATGCTGGGTAGGACTTCCTTACAGATAAATTTGATTAGAATTTAATTTATTTACTAATACAATTGTGATGTAAACATTACAAATATTTGACATCTCTTGGTTTGAGAGGTGAGGAAAAAATGAGATTAATTTTGCTCCTGTAACAGTGAAAGTCAGGAATTTCTGTGGCATGCCATGCCCATGAAGGTGACATTTAAGCACAATAACATTAAATTAAAAAAAATAAAGATCAGTATTTTCTGAGGCAAGACTTCCCTAGCATTCAGGTTAAGACAGTCCAACCTGGATAAAAGACATGAAAGTAAGTGAGAAGGGATTTTGCAGATTCATTTATGATGGATCCTGTGTGTAATTTAAGTTACATACTTTGTACTCTGTGATTTTCAAATGTCTTTCCCAACATTAGTCTTTAACTCCTTTAAAAGTCTGTCATAACAATTTGTAGCCTGCATAACAGCAAACTTGCTCTATGTATAACATTCACAGCAGAGCAATAGAAACCCATTTCCTAATAATCCATCAATACAAGAAGATGGCAAAGAATTTACAACAGTGGTTTGATAAGAAGTGAGGCATGCTGATTTTGAATTAATTTATATACAATTGGTATGATATGCTGAGGGACCATGAAAAGACTGTCTTTTGTTGTGATGGGAAGGAAGGTTTTCTTATTCATCACAGTGATGAAACTGGTGCCACTTTATCAGACCTTGAAGTATTAAATCCACTTTTTCCATCACAGTTTAACAATCCATTGGGCAACAATATTTAATTTATTTTTTTTTAAACCAAAGAAGGAACCAAACTCTACTGTTTAGTAGTACTTGAAACGTAGCAGAATTTACTGCGAGATATTTCAAAATGAATAGTTTTAATAAAACACTTCTGGACATTTACGGTACTAATAGAGCAAATCCTGTCATTTCTAAACCCACTTGTAACATCATTTTATTCTGTGCATACTTAAAAACTAAGTTATAATCGTACACAATGCATCTTTAACTATACCTCAGTGCACACAAGTTTATACGTACGTACTCACATGCTTAAAATACACTCAAAACTTTTGGACATACTTTACATTTCCAGAGATAATATGCTTCTATAATATATCTGGAACGTACCTTATTTCAGGATTTATTCCCAACTTCTTACTGTAGCCAGTCAGGTTGTTTTAAGCCTCAACGCAAACTACTAGAATTTTAAACTTTTTTTTTTTTAATTTTGAATTTTAAAATTTCAACTAAGGAAACACTTCGGAATAATCAGCTGCTAGACTGAAGGCAGATTTGTGGATACAAGATAAGACCCACTAGAAACTCAGTACACTTGGAAACTGTACTCTGGCATCACCACCTAATCATTATCAGCCACGATCGCATCGTGAGGCAACCACATACGAACCAAGAGTATCCCGTACAAATTAGTCTGAAAACTGTTTTTGCAATATACTCTGAGTTGGCCAAGGTAACTTATCACCAGTATTCCTTTCTCTTATTAATTTTATATTTTGCCACCCTCCTCTTACATCCCCATAAACAAAACAAATCCAGTCCAAACGACGACACATACTAGTTATCAGATCATTTACTTCAATGTCTTACTACTTTTCTTCATTAGTTTGCATCTCTAATGTAGTGCTTAAGACATGGAGTACTGTTTTAGGAGCACACATGGTGGGAACTTCAATCATGTTTTGAAACCTGTGGTACCACAGGAATATGAGCATTAAATAAAAATTAACCAGTAATAGAAGAAACCCTCAAAATTTCAATTATAATTGTATCATAAAAGGATTCCTGTATGCCGCCAGGTGCTCCAGTTAAGAGGCTCTTCAATCAAGGAAGCACAATCTTTATTTTGCCATAGCTGCCTATAAATCCAAAAGGGAGATGTAAACATACATACACTAGACTAAACAATGGCTAAATAGCAGCCACTATTCACTCTCCCACTCACACATACCATGCAAGTCTGTGGGAAAAACTTAACGATTGAAGCTAAGGAACTCAAGTAAAGTTTTCTGAAAATAACCCAGAGCTGACAAGTCAGTAGGAGGGCCTGGATGGTTTCAAGACACAGTTTTTAACTAAGACTTGGACCTCCAACTTTTTTTGTGTGTGTGCGCGCTTTTTTTTTTTAAACAAAGATTTACATCACATCCTTGGCTAAATTACTTAAAAATTAATCAAATTAATTACTGAGTGGATAAGCAAGACACTGGACAAGATAGAGTGAATGGCTGGCCAGCCAATACGGTCTGTGTTGTTTTAAACAAATGCATCAGTGTTGGTTTTAACAGATCTGTAGGGAATAAACGCATTAAAAGACTTAAAAAACATTTCTCACCGAACACTGAGTAATGTATGTATGTACATTTTGAGATTCTGGCCTTCTGGATTATAACAAAGATTATCAACTGCTGAAAAGAGCATTTCTGCCAGCTTTGATCTTTGGTTTGACACACCATTTCTTGCACTCAGACAGGTATTGAACTGAGCATCTAAGATCTCGGTAAGCACCTATGTAATTCTGTGTAAACAGTTTGGGCGCTCTCAGAAATCCCGCTCACATACATAGACACCACACAACTCTCATTTGTGCAGTACTGCAATTGCCCAGTCAGCCAACACTGAAATACCGTTTTTGAAGTCTCTGGAAATGATAAAATCTACCTGGGTGCACAGATACATAGCTAACTTGTTGGCATTTTTGTCTTCCTGAAGCTGAACAGGGGAATAATGAATGATGTACTAACACAGACTTGCACTGACTGAGAAAGGTGGAAGAAAAGTAAGCTGGATGCAGGCTGCTTTCACTCAGCTCTACAAATTTGTTTGAATTCAGCTAACTTCTGTATTTTGTTAAGCACAGGTAAGCATGATGTACATGTGTCCTCATGTACTTTAGATTTTTTTTTTTTTGTTACCACTGGCCCTGTGTTTATCATTCAAAATCCCAAACATGAAGGAGTTTAGAGCATTTTCTGTTAGCAGTCTCATACTTTTCTAAGTTATATACTGCATATCTCATATTCTGCAAAATATAAAACCATCACAGATGTGTGCTAAGAACTAGTTCCAAAGTAAAAGGAAAATTTTTAATTAAGGAAACATTGACTTTTATGGTTGCAAATCAGAAGACTATTTTACTAAATGCTTAGCGTGTAGATTATGCTTCTTTAATTCACAAATTGACTGTACTAGGTCACCTTTGAGTAATGGAAACCTCTGTTTAAACATTTTTTTGGCAATGGGCACAAAGCATTAGATCTCATTTCCAAGACTTACCAGCTGGGTTTTGTCATTAACATTTATTACCAATCTAAGATACGGCTTTCAGCGTCTAATCCTCACTACACAAATGTTTTTTATAGTTCTCTAGAGAGCTTTGGTGTGACAAATTACTGGCACAGATTACAGCCCTGTGGCTATTCACCAGAGGCAATGCAAAATTAACATGGTACTAATCCAATTTAAACAAGAAATTGGTCAAACTATGCACAATTGCACAAATCATCTGAACTAAAGCAAATCTAGAGTTCCTGAAGCAACAGCTTCCAAATTTATATTTAAAACACAGTAAATGGTTTTTGATCAGCTCCGCTTCAACTTTATTTGGCTCTTTAAAGTCACTTAAATCTTTTATCAATAGACTAAGTATAAGATGAAGCACAGGAGTATAAAACCCACAAGAAACTACTTTGAAAGGGTTTGTTCTGTAGCAGAGAAGTTTTAGGTAGCATGCCAACTTATTTTATGGTTCAGGCTTTCAGCAAGAGGGTCAGCTGAAACCATCGACGTATGTTACTAAATTCAGATCGTCAGGTCTATGGTGATGAAATTTATTATAAAAACCTGATAGTGATACACACTAGCGTTAATCTGACAAGCAACAATCTTCTCTTTTATTCTACAGGAATTTTTAAATATGGCAGTGCGAAAGAAACAGCCTGGACATTTCATGGCTGCTGAAGAAATCTTAATCAGAGATGAGATTCATATTCTTACTTGTATCATATTGTTGAGCGTGTTTCAGAAATTGGAGATGAGAATTCATGACTCCTTTTATCACTAGGCAAATGAGGACCAATTTGAAGACAGCAAATAAGATGAGTTTTTAATTATTAATAGCAATTATAGAGCACATTCACCCTCTTCAGAAAGAAATATATGTTTTTAAAAAGTAATTATCAATTAGGAGATAGTAGGCTTAGCTTCTTAGTCTCCCAAAACTGAATACTCTAGCAGTAGGAATGAAGTAGGAACTATAATACCTAAAAAAACCCAACCAACAAAAACAAACTCCCAAAAAACCCACTTTTCCTCAAGCACAAAGTGTGAATACAAGTAATAAGAACCTTTTACTAAACTTGAATTCTGAAGCCTTTTGCCTGTGTCAAGGTTTGTTCAGCAACAGGGATTAATGATTTACTAATTTGTTTGTCAAGGCCAATGGAAATGCTTGCCACTCTAAAGTATGCTGTTTAGTTAATGTTTACTGTAACTCATGAGACAAGTGATTACAAATTAACACAGAGGCATATGAATTCAGTGAGGATGAAGCTGCTGCTCCTGCAGGTTTGAACAAAGAACTGAAGTCATACGTGTATGACTACGCGCACGCAAGGTCTGTTGACAGAGAGCAGCAATAAAGCATGCCACGTCAGTATGACATGAGGATTTCTAAAAGCAGGAGAACAAAGTCATGCTTCCAGTTTTAACTTTCTGCAAGTTTACTTTGTTTTACAGCATCCAGCAAACCTTAAGCACTGTTTTTAAAAGCTAAGATTCGTTTCTCATCTTTACCCTCCATTCATTTCACAAATAAAATACAGAACAGTTAGGACTGTAACTGACCAAGATGGTTGGGCCAAGAACAAAATATTTTTTCTGGAAGTGCTGTCTGAGCATCGTTGGGAATGAGATTAAAAAAAACTTTTCTGGCCTTGAGTCATGCCTGCTTTTACTTACGCCGACCTTCTTTGCAGACCTGAGCCTTCATCTTCCCCGAGTTCAATGTCAAACTCAAATCAGTTCTGCCATTCTTATTTTTGCAAAAACCACAGCTCAGAGCTTTAATTTTGCTAACACAAACACTAATAAAATCAAAACTGCCAGTAGTTAACATTAATTAAGCAGCTTCCAACATTACATTAACTTAGTTGTCTCATATGATAAAAGAAAACCTGCATACCTGTTTAAACCTTGCAAGTTCTTTCAAAGCCCTTGTCCATTGTTGTTTGTAGTGGAGCTTTGACTTGGTAGCCGACTCTAACTTTCTTTCAAGTTCAACCTAAAAGCAATTAAAATCATATCAGCTGAAGCAATAACAGCAGTAACAATCACTGAAAGATGTATATATACAAAGGGTCTGGTTTAAGAAAAGTGTTTATGTAGTGTAACATACAACATCATCTAAAGCTGTTACATAATATAACATAAATATTATGGCACATGAACATTTTCTTGTTTAAAATATAGCCTTATTTTTATTGGAGAGCCGTCTATACAAAAAGAAAAAGATTAGTTTTTAGCACTAAAACTGCTGACGTAACCTTCAGATTTAAGATACTCAAATTAGCAACCCTCTCACCCCTCCCTTTTCTTTTTTGTCAAGAAAGACTATAAACACAAATTTAACAGAAACACTGATGTATAAATCTTGCCTTTAAAAGGTGTGTAGACTGTTTTCCTGCAGCTGACGGAAGGTACGTACTACCTTCTTTTCTCTGAAAAGGATGTTTGTACAAACCATTCTTTAAAAAAAAAATAAAAATCTATGTATCTAGTGTGAATCTTTGATCTTACTCCTCAAATCTTTTAAAAAATGTTACACACCAAAAAAATGTAATGCCTTCTGTGCAACAACAAAAAAAAAAAGTATTAGACCGCAAATAAAAACACTTATCAAGTACAGAGAAAACAGTAACCTGTAAAATGAGGCATTTTTAATTATCAACTCTGAGGCTGTAATATTTTCTTTTAATCAGACAAAAATTATTTACCATTTCTCTCTGAAGATCCTAAAGCACTGATTTTTTTTTTAATCTAATAAAAATAGGAAAACTAAAATATTTAAGATAAGAGTTTAAAAAGTCTGTAATTGAAACATGCTGAATCATTTGCTTGTATTCTTAGAAGTTATTCAAGCATATAGTAACATGCACACTGGCCATATAACTGGGAGTGCATTTTGTGTGAAGAAAACTGGTTTGATTTTTTTCAGCTTATTCAGTCAACAATTCGACTCAAACTTCACAATAATTCTGAGCATAAAATGCCCATATCTCTGGTTTTAATTAAGCAAAATATCCCCTCCTGAAGGCAGGTATGGTTTCCAAGAAATCAATTTATGATTGTGATTCCATTCCACTGATAAGTAACATAATCTCTTTTCAGAAATACTTATTAAAAAAGCCAATGCACATAATTGAATACCAGTCTAAATTAATCCTCATAAGAAAACATCTCTATGCTTAGAGTCCCCAGCACAAATGATGGAATTAGGAATTTAAACATATAGACTACGTTTTTCCCTGCCTTAGCCTCCAGCACTACTGCTTCCTCTATATTAATAGGGGTACTGTTGGCCTTACACGTCTGAATATTTAAAGTCTGAAGAAACTGGTGGAAAAACTAAAACAAAATGGACATAGTAACCAGTTAATCATGCAACATTATTCTACATCTCCTTTACCAGTTAAAGGACCAATGTGACAGTTTTTAAAGGCCAGAAAAATCCAAGATACCTTTTCCAAAGTGAGAAGAGTTATTTCCGATTGTAGCTGGGTTTCTGGTTTGTTACTTTGCTGTTCTTTGTACTGCTGGAACTCCTTCTCCAACATTTTATGCTTATTTTCTGCTTCATAAAGCTTCATCAAGGATATAAAGATGCAAGTTAGCAGAAAAACACATTCATAAAGAATTAGGTTACAGAACTTAAGTTACTCCTTAGTCCCTGGAACAAACATCTTACTGTCAATTATCTGACATAAAACAGACACTGAAAGCTCAACATTCATAATTAATGATTTCTTGGTGATGGCATAGAGCAATGTTTTAATAAAAGAATTTTAAAGACGATCTTTGCTCAGTACTGGAAAGGAAAAACAAGTCTGTCCTCATATACAGAAAAATCAAGATTTATAAACCTTGCTGTTCACATTTCTAAAACGACTGGCAGAAGAAACACAGAAAACAAAACTATTTACACACATCTTTTAAAGATAGCCAACAGTGTTATCTACTATGTGAAGTTTTGTTACTCAGTTTCACCAGCATAATTTGTTTAGGAATGTCTGGAAGAGGAAACAACTAATACTTTGTACAGCCAAATGATGATTTAAAAGAAAAACTGAAGTACAAAGTCTTCAGTGACTAATGGCTTAACGCTGTGTACCTCTGCCCTCTCTGTGTACTTCCACAGTTTCATGAAGATTTTATGGAGAGAGCTTTGCTTTTCATGTTTAAATAGGTAATTTGAAAAGTGATGACAATATATAACTACTTGTCAACAAAGAACCTAAGCAAGTCAAACAGCTTTTTCTCATTTTACCATATTAAAAAACAACTTATGTTTTCTAAGAGAAGCCCATGTTCTTCAGTTTTATGTTACTCAACTATAAATACCTTAATATACCCAACTGAAACAATGCATTCCATCACAGAATATGATCACCAATGCTGCACTTGTATTTATGTCCAGCCAGTTAATGAAAATATTTCCTTGAATTGTATCCAACAGTTTAGAATACTGGGTGAAAATGCTTCAGAGAATTAATTTCTGTTCCAAAGTCTACAACTTCATCTATTAGTACATCAATATTTTAATCCTTCGGATCTCCTAATAGGGTCACTTCTATTTTTCTTCCAAAATTTAACTTTTTGCATCTGTTATTTTTACAGGCTTGATGTAAGAAAGCCAAGATGCTTCCTCAGGATTCTAGAAAAATGTATTCCACTGCAGTTAATTTTCATATGTAACTGAAAGAGCCAACTTTAACAAAACGTAGTGCTGTTTGTCATCTTTCTGTATTTACCAAATTCTTTCTAGAGCAGACATACAAACATGATGCCAATGACGAAGACAGTACCTGATTTATTTAGCCATGAAAAATGTCAGCTCTCCCTAAAACTTCTACAATGTTAAATTTCTTGTTTGTTTCAGAAAACACTTTCAAAACCTGCATTTCTCATGAGGCCATTAAGTTGTGGACTGTTAGGGAACTGCACAAATCGTACACATAAATCACAACTTCCTTATTCATGAATTAAGAGTGATGTTCTTCAAGGTGGATGCTTCCAGGATCTTCTCCTGCACATAGTGGGGTTTACCCCCAAATAAATTAAGATATTTGGAGAACTCAACAATGCAAATGTATTGACACATCTCCTTAAATGGTAAGGAGTAAGTCAAAGCATGTAATGGTTCTAAATAACAATTTACTTCAGAACATTCCTTGTTAAAAAAACCCAACCAACCAAACAAAAACAAACCACCACACAAAAACCCAACATCCAAAAAGGCAAAGAAAAAAAGAGGCCCATCAGAACTAGTAGCAATAGGAAATTTGTGTGCACACATTACAAAGGAAAACATCCTATGGTGAGAACCCAAAACAAAAACTCACCCCACCATCAGCAAAGGAAAATAAAACAGCTTCTCTTGTGCAGAATATGCGGTAAGAACCGTCTCATACTGAAGCATAAGAGACACTCAACATAGCAGGTACAGCACAGAGAAAGACAGCCAAGACAATCAGCTGGAAGGAATGGCCTTCACACAAAGCAAGACAAGACATAGCGGGGCTTGTGTTTGGGAGAGAGACAGCATGACAAACACCTAAGCAATCAGGAATCGTATATAGCACAGACATTGAAGGATTGTTTACAGTTATTAAGCCACAAGCTTAAAAGGAACAAAAATTTTTTAAATATACAATGCGATTAAATTTTAAGAACTCGCTGCCACAGGATGTTGCATGCTAGCAACAGGAATACTCTTTAAAAAGGGATCAGATGGGCTCACGAAGACTATTTTCACTGATGGCTAGTAAATATGAAATGCTGCCTCTGACTGAGGGTTCATGTATGTCTTGATGCTGGATATACAAAATTTTCACTTCTTATTTCCTTGCCCTCTAAATCCAGCCATTGCTGCAACAGAATGCTGAGCAAAGTGGTCCTTTGGTGTGATACAGTATGTTTTGAGTAGGAAAAAGTAAAGTGATTATCATGATACTGCAACCCAGCTGAGAAAAAGTCAGTGAGAATCCAAAGCATGAAGATGACTCCTAGGTGGTGGCATTTGCCCACTTAAGCCTGAAGAACTATTGGCTATCTTGTCCGTACTGATAGGGCATTGGTAGCTGCCAACAGCACATTTCTGATGCAGAAGTGATCCACTTATCACTTTGAAGTGAATTGCATTCTGTAGTTTGAAACAGCTCATCTCAATTCAACGACACTATTACTTTCAGAACAGAAGATGATGATATCAAGATAATTCCCACCCCAATAAGGATAATAGAAATACCGCAATAGAAGAATAAAATTAACTGTATGGTCAAGCTACTTAGATCCTTTACTAGATGTTAACAGCTAACAATTTGTAAGTTACCGAAACGTATACTGCTGTTCAGGTTCTATGTGTAGCGTCTACTTGTAATGGCAGGGTTGTGTTTCTTCTGTATTGAAAATCAAAGAATAACAACTGCATTGCAAACCGGCCCTGTTACTGAGCAAGACTGACAGAGATGGGACACAGAATGCAGCCCAGCAGACAATTCAGACAAAATGTTTATTACAGCGTTGCCAGAAATCGCTTGCCTCAAAGTCATTGCCGAACTTGGTATACTTATTTTAACAAATGCTTACCTAAATAAGTAAATGGTTGAGGCATAAAATTTAAGTGTACTTACCTGCTGCTGTAAGCGAAGCTTGTCTTGTTCCACCTGTTTGATTTTTGACCTTTCTAGCTCAACCTGGTGTGCAGAGTCTTCCCTGGCTCGTCGCACAGAATCCTGTAGCTCCTGAAGATGTCGTTCGTGCTCTGCTTGCAACTCCTTCTTTACTCTTTGAAGCTTAAAAGTGAGACATATTTGTATCAATCCACAGATCCAAGTTCCTAATTTTAAGAGTCCTTCATACAACCCTTACTACTATCCGTCACAGAAAAAAATGGTTATCCATTTTAGAAATTGAACAACAGAAATTCCATTGTTATCTGTATGTTTACTACATACTGTTACTGATGTCTACTACATCCTATTTTACTGGTTTTCAGTTTAACTAATTTAACCTTCAAATTACTCCATTGTGCTACAAATAAACTCTTGCTTGACTATGGTAAAAATGGGCTATCCATATCTCCATTGTACTTTCTACACGGGATTACTAAAGGCAAATTTTATAAAGACCTTTCCACTATCAACTAAAAAGCTAAATATACCCCTTCACTGCAGAAACAGTGAAGTGACAGTTACAGCTGAGATGCCTTTAGATCAGTAAGATTGCACTCCTCAGACTGAGCATGTTGAGAAAATTTCTTGTTGGGCTAAAACAGGAAAGAAGTCCTTGACATATTTGAACTTTCTAGAAAGATGTTACCAGCCCAGAAAACTGCTAGCTGAATAGAAACCTCTCCAAGCGTCCCATTTCTCAAACTGTGTAATTGCTAAATGAACCCTACATCATTTTGTCTAGACGCTTTAGGAATCCACTGATCTTTATTATCTCCAAACCCTCAGGTCAGCATCTCACTAAATTTAGAGCAAGTTTTGAGACAAACATGTACGAGATTCAAAATAAATATTTTTACTCAGGCTGAAATGCATTCAGCCAAAATTAATCACCAAATTTTTTGCATAGATGTTAAAGGTAAAGTCAGACACTATTTACAGTACAAACTGCGTCTTGAGGGGTACAGAGAGCCCGAGTACAGAGTCAGACACAGGCTCAACTGGCCAGCCCCTGTCTTGGGAGCTTTCTTAACCTTGTTCACATGCACAGGAGGGACTGATATAAAAAACTGGTATGACCTACAGGAGGAAAGAGAGAGTTTGCTGAGCTGCTCAATCTCCACAGCAGTTTACCGATGTGATTGTGAGCTTGTTCTGAAGTACGAAACCAGGCAGTTCATTTTCTTTATCTTTACATTTCTCCTTCCCTGAAGACTTGCACCCCGTTTCCTAATCTCAGGGGTGTTCAGTGAGATCTAGTAACATTGGTAACTACTGTTTTCTCCTGCATCTTCTTTGGCCCTGTCACTATAAAAACAACCAGCCAAAACAAGAAAACCAAAATTGCAGTTTCTCCCAGCTCTCCTGGAGCTGGGAGATGGTTAATCTGGCAATTACTGTGTGAAGTAAGGCACTCTTGCACACACACAGAGTGTTCACCTCACAACACTAACCTTAAAACTGAGATATGCTGGTGTTTTGTAAATGTCTCCACTGACACTCTAATCCTGTTATGAATATAAAATTCATTGTTCTATAATTCTAGCAATCAATTTCAAAATCAATTGAATTTCCATTTCAGTAAAAAAAAAGCGTGCTCGTATCAAAATCTGGCTTAACTTATTAGCGTTCCTCCATCTTCAGCATGAATACTGTTCTTTCAGTTCTTACACACAGGTCACAACTGTCTCTGTCTGAAAACTCAAACATTATAGAAATAGCTCATAGAATTGCACTGTTTAAGGTGAACACTTTTTACCTCTGATTCAGCACTAAAAAGCTGTCGTTCTCTCTTATCTAGATCCCTCAGGTTTTTATGAAGTTTTTCTTCCAACACAGTATATTCTGCTACCTAAAAGAACAAAAAAAAAAGGCATTTTCTTTTCTTGCAATAAAAATGTTCTAAGTGAGTGAAGAATTTACTTGTGCTGTGACACAAAATATTGACACTTTTCATTTGGAAATTTACATATAAAACACATCTCCAGCTCTTAATGAAGAAAACAAAATGGAGAGCCTTTTTTCCTAACACAATAAAGGCTAACAGGTTACCATGCACACCTGGCTGTAGAAGTGCTTTCTGACCATACGAGTGAAAGGCAATTAAAGTTAAAAGGCCCACAAAGAAAGCAAGCTAACTGAAAGGATTTCTAACAAATAATCTCTGACTAAGGACTACTTTTAATTTTTTGCACTGTTGTAAGCTAGGCACATTCATACCGGAAGGTGTGAAGACTAATCACAGACCCTTTGTTCGATGTTAGAGTTATGAAATACAGTTTTGTAGTGGTATGAGTTTTATGAGAGTTTCAGCAAGTATAAGAACAAGATTCCTTACCTTTTTCTTCACTAATGCTTCTCTCTCTCTATCTCTTTTCTTCCATTCTTCTGCAAGTGTTTCCATATGGGCCATTTCCTTCCTTTTAAGCTTTTAAAAGCAAAAAAAGAAAAAGTAACAAACCCCCCAAACCAGAAAAATCAAATCAAATCAAAAATCATAAAGCCTTGAAGCAACAAAATTAAAAACTTGGTACACTGATTTATATAACTGAAGGTTCCTTCAAGTGATAGAGGAGCTCACAAGGAGTGGTGCCATGCTGGACCTTGTTCTCACCAACAGGGAGGGGCTGGTGGGGGATGTGAAGCTCAAGGACAGCCTTGGCTGCAGTGAGCATGGAATGGTGGAGTTTAGAATCCTTACGGAGGTGAGGAGAGTACGCAGCAAGCTTGCTACCCTGGACTTCAGGAAAGGAGACTTTAGCCTCTACAGGGAACTGACCGGGAAGATTCCTTGGAATTAGCCCTGAAGGGAAGAGGGGTCCAGGAAAGCTGGAAAATATTCAAGGACCATCTCCAAGTTCAGGAGTGATGCATCCCAGTGAAGAGGTAAGTGGGTAAAAATGCCAGGAGGCGTGAGGGGATGAACAAGCAGATCATGGGGAAACTGAGGAGCTAAAAGGAAGCCTACAGAGAGTGGAAGCAAAGACAGGTAGCCTGGGAAGATTACAGGGAAGTTGTCCGAGAGGTCAGGGAACAGGTTAGGAACGAACTGAACCTGGCCAGGGACATGATGGCCAACAAGAAGGTCTTCCATAGGTACGCAAGGGATGAAAGGAAGATCAGGGAAAATGTGGGCCCTCTGTGGAAGGAAATGGGAGAGCTGGTTTCCCAGGATATAGAGAGAGCCGAGATGCTCAGTGATGTTTTTGCCTTGGTCTTCACTGTCAAGGGCACAAGCCACACACCCTAAGTCATGCAAGTCAAGGGGAGCAACTGTGAGAATGGAAAGCTGCCATTGATTAGAGAGGATTTGGTTCGGGAGAACCTAAGGAACCTGAAGGTGCACAAGCCCATGGGACCTGATGAAATACATCCGTGGGTCTTAAAAGAACTGGTGAATGAGGTTCTGAAACCTCTATCCATCATAGTTGAGAAGTCATAGTGGTCTGTTGAAGTTCCCACTGACTGGAAAAGGGGAAACATAACCCCCATCTTTAAAAAGGGAAAAAAGGAGGATTTGGGGAACTACAGGCCAGTCAGTCCCACCTCTGTGCCTGGCAAGATCATGGAGCAGATCCTCCTGGAAACCATGCTGAGGCACATGGACAACAAGGAGGTGTTTGGTGACAGCCAACATGGCTTCACGAAGGGCAGATAGTGCCTGATGAATATGGTGGCCTTCTACGATGGGGCCTTGACCTTGGTGGAAAAAGGACAGGCAATCGATGTTATCTACCTAGACTTGTGCAAAGTGTTCAACACTGTCCTGCACGACATCCTTGTCTCAAAACTGAGAAGACATGGATTTGACGAATGGACTGCTCGGTGAGTAAGGAACTGGCCGGATGGTCACTTTCAGAGAGTGGTGGTCAATGGCTCAACATCTGAGTGGAAAGCAGTAACAACTGGCATTCCTCAGGGGTCAGTACTGGGACCAGTGCTGTTTCACTTCTTGTCGGTGACATGGATGGTGGGATCAAGTGAACCCTTAACACTTTTGCCAGCGACACCAAGCTGTGTGGCGTGGTTGACACGCTGGAGGGAAGGGATGCCATCCAGAGGGACCTGGACAGGCTGGAGAGGTGGGCCACTGCCAACCTCATGGAGTTCAACAAGGCCAAGTGCAAGGTCCTGCACCTGGGTTGGGGAAATCCCAAGCACAAGTACAGGCTGGGTGGAGAGTGGATAGAGAGCAGCTCTGACGAGAAGGACTTGGGGGTACTGGTGGATGAAAAGGTGGACATGAGCCGGCAGTGTGCGCTGGCAGCCCAGAAAGCCAACCGTATCCTGGGCTGTATCCAGAGAAGTGTGGCCAGCAGGTTGAGGGAGGGGATTCTGCCCCTGTACTCTGCTCTTGTGAGACCCCACCTACAGTTCTGTGCCCAGGTCTGGAGCCCCCAATATCAGAAGGACATTGACCAGTTGGAGTGAGTCCAGAGGAGGCCACGAAGATGCTCAGAGAGCTGGAGCCCCTCTGCTATGGGGACAGGCTGAGGGAGCTGTCTGGCTTCCAGTCAAGGTCTTCACTGGATTCAGAGGAACCCCACAGCAGTTTCCATTCGACATTTGCTACCAAATGAATATTTACAGGTAGTACTAAAGTATGATATGAAGTACTGGTTAGTACTGCTTAATGCAAACCACAGGGAAAAGGCAGACATTGTCCTTTTACACTCAGGACATCAAAAATTAATCCCTAAAGCTGCCCTCTCCTTTCTTTTGTCAGTTTTGGAACAACTGTTTCATACACACAAGTAATGCAACCTATTTTGAGCTACCTGGTCTAGTGGAAGGTGTCCCTGCCCATGGCAGGGGAGTTGGAACTAGTTGATCTTTAAGGTCCCTTCGAACACAAACCATTCTGTGGGTCTGTGATTCTGATAGTGAAAAGTATTTCTGTCCCTTAAGTGCAAAATGCAAAGTAAGCCCAAGTTTGAGAATAATATCCTAACAAATGGACACCAGATTCAAATTATTTTCTAAAATAAAGAAGCATGAGATTCTATGAAACACACAGAATGACTTCAAGAGTAGAAACACAGCAATGAATTTGGACTGAGAATAATGAAATGCAGTGTTAAGTATTAAACATCAAGAATTTGAATCTTGAGTGTACTGTACTCCATAAACAGTAAGGGGAAATTATGATGGTGGTATTCTGTATTTCACTACCTAGCACCTACTTCAGTCACTTAAAATAATTAACCTTCTTCCTTGAGAGTAGGAAAGTTATTTGTGTATATGTCAAGTTTTAATACTCTATATGAACAAAACTTAGTTTAGGTCTTACTTGAACCAGTGGCAAGGTTTAAGAAAATTGCAGTTCATATTCCTCTCTCCAATTCTGCTAAAGCATCTCTGGCTGTCACGCATTTTAAGAAATAAACAGAAAGTGTAAAAACCTGATTTTCAAAAATGTCCTCTTGCATTTCCTTCCACATTTCTAACTCCAATGCTGCTTTGTATTCTAGAGTCTCTCGAGGTTCTGGATTATTTTCTGGTACACGAGGCTGTGTGTGTGGGACATGCTGCTGCTGACCATCACCTAAACACTGATATAACAACAGTGAATTTTTAACTGGAAACCCAACTTATTTGAGAAGTGTTCAAGGAAAAAAGTAAGATTTAATGTAAAATTACTTGAGAAGAATCCGACAGCAGAATTTCTTGCATTTTCACAAGTCCGTAGTCTTCCAAAGTGATAGCATATGAAAGCTCTGCTATTTTGTTGCCTGACCTACAAACAGCAATAAAATGAAATGACATTAAACTGTTTTAATAATACAGAAACCAAATTGTAGGACTACATACAAACCAGTAATCTTGAAGTGCTAAAAAAGTTCCACATAAGCTCAGAGACTCTGAAGAGCTGCCTATATGAGAGTACAAGCATGCTCTCCCATGTATATTGTTTTAACTTAGGGACTGATCTATACATCTACAGTAAGATTTCTGGCCGTAACAGATAATCTGTCATCGGGAACCTATTTAATTAACAGTTTACTATAACCAACACATGCACATAAAAAGAGAACGATCCACAATTATACCTTCAGTCATAAATCTTTCTAATAAACATACCTATTGAACACAGGTATTGCTGCTGACTTTGTTCTAAGATACACAGTGAATTTCATTAGTCTTGCCTTTTTAAATGTTAACAGTAACTTTCTAGTTATCCACAGTGTAATAAGTTCTTGGATTACTAAAAGCCGTATTTCTGGAAGCTTCAGCATAGAGAACTGACAACTTTAAGTCCACTTATAGGTTATATATCTACCTGCTTTTTTTACAGTAAATAAATATCGAGGTAACAGCTATTTTAATAAACTACTTTGAAATTATTGGAGTTTCTGCTGACATTGAACAGTTTGTCTCTGGCTGCCTCATCTTTAGTCACAGACAAAGTGTAGTAGACTGGTAATTTTCTGCACAGAAAGATATTAAGAGAAAGAATACGCACAGAACAGATAACTGAAAGTTATCACTAGTCTAACACTGAAGTGCACTGCAGTGCAGTGCAGTCCTGCACCTGGTCAGAAACGAAACTCTCATTTTAGTTACAATTACTGAACGATGCAAATGCAATTACACAATCACCTGAAGCCTGGAAGCTGCACAATTAGATATCACACAATCTGCAACAAAAGGCTGCAGGAATTGACCATGGCTGTAGTTTTCACAGCAACTCTCTTCCAGTCAATAGAAAAAGATGACACCAAAATGTTGGTGTTTCTCTTTTTTTTTTTTTAGAGGTGCAATCTTCTACACCGTTATTTGCAAGGAGAAAAAAACCCACCCAAACATCTGTACTTCACGTAAGTTCACGGAAATTACTGCATTAAATAATTCTTGCATTAAACTTCCATCAGTCACTGATTAAAAAAGCAAAACAATATTCAAAGTAACGGATGTCTGAAATCTGAGCAATTAAGTCAGTTTAACATGTCAGCGTAAGAAGAACGTTGCCAACAAGAGCAAAGCTACAAAGGTATCAGCACAGCAAAATGCAGACCTGATACATTTTGAGAACGCCATCTAGTGGTTATTAAGTTTTGTGCAAAACCAGGTTTTATTTTAACAATCTTGTTGGTGAAAGTCTGAACCCTAATGTACAGTGAGATCCAAGTAATCCTCTAAAGAATCAGGCCATGCTGGCTTTCATACAAAAAAGTTCTAACAATGTTCTATCCATCTGGGAGGAGGGAGGATATCAGTCTCTGTCAGTGAAGTTTCCTGTGTCTGCAACATTGCATATTTTAATCATCTATAGGATTAGACGTTTAAAACTAACCTCAGTCTTAATAGCAATTATATTTATTTCTAAAGGCATTATCAACCTCCATTATCACACAGGAAAAGAGGAGGCTCTAGACACCGATTGCTAGCACAGTTCACATCAACAAGGATGCAGGAGAGAACTGACTACAGATTTTCTTCATATACATAAAAAAAGAATGTCACTCTTCTCTGAAGATAAATGTTCTTATTTACACAGAGAATATTAATTAACAGCAATGCTGCTTTTGACTTATATAAACTTAAATCCCCGCTACTATTACAGGGTATAATCCCGAAACAGGAAACCTCTCCACTCTGTGAATTTATCTGTCCTCCTAACTTTCACTGAAGTCAGGTGCATCTAAAACCATACTACGGACAGTCTTAACTGCTTTCTGGATCAACAGCTTTCTGTAATTGTTAAGTAACTTAGTCAGCAAAGTGCCTCAATAATATTTTTTCAATTATTTAATTTCTTTAGTCTGCCTGTGAATTTTACCCAAGATCATGATTATATAAGTGTTCATTACAATGACTCTGGTAGAGGTGCGGGGTTGCGCAATATGCCTGTGGCAATTCAACTTTTGGCCTCTTGGATGCCTATCCCCACCCCCATATTGTATTACTCTGCAGCCTGTTGACCAAAAATGTAAAAAAGAGCTTGCCCTTTTTCAGGGAAATACTAAACAAACGATTCGTCAAAACTACACAGTAAGTATGGGGTTTTTTAAACAGTTTTACCCTTGTGCTGCTGTGACACTGACTGTTTCATTATAAGTCTGACGCCAGCATTGTTCACCACTACCACCCAAGAATCGGGTTTTTTCCGAAGCCAAAACATCTGAAAGCTGAAGTCTTGCCAATCCTAGGAGTAAATCTTTCGCTGTTTTGTCCTTGTGCCACAATTCAACCAGCAGAGGTAATCTGAAACAAAGAAGTGATTTTAGTGTCAGGCATCAACACAAAAGAGTAAGCATCCCTATTTATTTGGGAAAAGGACTTTATATTCTAAAACTTACTTCCCACCAGTATTGTCATGCCATTGCTTGATGGGTTTACTGCCTCTCACTCACAGAGAAATGAGACTGACTGACTCTGTATCTTCTCCATCACTTACTAACTTTGGTCAGATTATCAGTTATTATAATTATTTTTCCAATTATTATTAGAAAGAGAAATGCTGCAGTGAAAGTGATTGACTGAATCACCTTTACAGACTGAGATCATCTGTAAAATAATTTAAGTCACTGCCACTTACAGGCTACATGTCCTCCACCTCTTCTTTCACAATACCACTATTTTGATGATTCTTTATTCCATATCCTAGTCAGTTATTGAAAGATGGTGGGACTACTGGGAAAATTGTGCCACAGCCCTCACTGTACTCAACTTCCTAGGTACTTGCTGTATTTTCAAAGACAACAGATAGCCATCGTGTATTAAAAGAAAAATTCAAAAACCCTGACCTACTTAATTTGAAATAATGGTTTATTAAAACTATGCTATGAATCTTTAAATTAACAACTTACAGAAACAAGTGCTGTTGCTCTAAGCAATGATCTTACAAGATCATTCCTCAACAGATAACAGCAAGAATTTGTTGTGTCCCTGTCTTCACATACATGTCTTCTGTAAATAATACAGAAACTAGAATAGCAGTGTATTAATTATTTGTTGGCATTAGCACTTGGATTCTTCACTAAATTCTCAAACTGATGATCATAAGTAAAAAATTTCAACTTGTGACTGCATTTACAAAAAAAAAAAAACAACCCAGCACAAGTGTAATTGAGATAAAAAGAACACAAGTTATCACCTGAAGAATGTATCTTGAAGCTGATGAGGTATAGTTGCAAAGTCAAATGCACAGTAGGACTGTGGAAGAAAGACTTCCATGTTCTTTCTGACTTCTACAGGTGGGCTTGTCATAATAGGCGCTGCACTGCCAAAAAATGGATACGAGTACCTAAGAAAAGTAACAAAAATAATCACATAATAAGTTAGACAGATTTTTCTTTTACCTTTTGCTACAAGAAAATGGTTTAGTAATTTATTCCTGAAGCACCGGTAGAGGCTGGGGGTTAATCTGCTGGAAA